CTTGTTCAGGGGCATGAAGCTGCGTTCCATGGTGACCAGCTGATGGCTCATGTCCATGTGAGTGTGCATGATGTCCTGCAGTCTCCACAAGAGTTGTGCAAGGTGACAAGCAGGACACACCACACCTCTTGGGTCTCTGTGCCATGGTGGGGTGCGAGCAGGCTGAGACATGGAGGCACGTACAACTCACAATAGAAGGAGCTTGCTCTGGGGCTCTTCTGGAAGACTAGGGATGCTTGTAGGGGAGGGTCTCCAGTGATGTGGCAGAGGGTTTGGGGCATGCTCGCCTGTGCCTGGCAGCCAATCAGGGGTGGTCTGGTACTTGACTGTGGGTGGCACTCTCTGGCAGCCACGGGAGGTCATGGGGCATGTTGGCAGGTGTTCAGAGTGGTCCTAACCTGCTGGCCTCGACAAGTGCAGGCAGCCTGTGTTGCTCCCTCCTCCCCCCACCAAAGGGCAAACATATCATGTTTGCTACTGTTCTATCTTAGGTCACTTACAGAAAACTGTGTAAGAGCAATTCCACCTTGGGCTTTTGAAAATCTGTACTCATCCCAGAAGTGAACCTAGTGATTCATTGGGTGAGTCTGGTGACCAAAGTACTATTTAGCATATAACAAAACCTGACCCTAGGAATGAAATCAGTGACAAAATAAGTCAGTCTTATAACTTCTTAAAAAGTACACTTGTAGTTGCATGCTCCACTGTTTTTCAAATTTGATTATAAGGTGCAGAATTTTCCATATCCGAGACAGATGTGTGTTAAGGTGTGATTTAATGGTACAGTCCAAAATTCTATTAATGTAAACAATAAGTAATGTTAGAATCTCTTGAATTGGCTTTTTTTATAATCTGTATTAACTATTATTTTCACTGGACTGACTCTTATAATATTTTCCACTTTAATATGTAGTTTTTGATGCTATGCATATAAAGTAAATGTAGTTTTATGCGTACTTGCAGAGTTTCAATAGGTGTTCAAGTTATTAATAGGAATATAAAATAAGTCTATTACAAGTGTGAGTTTTGAATGGTGCCTTTTCTTACAGCTGTTTAGGAAAACTGCTTCCCTGACCGTTCCAAATTATCCTTAAACAATCTAAAGAACTGCATAGCAGGAATATGCCTCTCTAAAATTCTGTAAGTTGGGGGGGGGGGGGGGTTGCTTTTTTTTTAATATCGTACAATTCTGCCTTAAGGGCTGAATGATGCAACTTGGGACCAAGTCTACTAGCTTACTAGTGGAGATAAAAAGGATGGGAATAAAGAGCAGAACTGAGTGGAAATAATCTATATGGAAAGATCCATTCCTATAGTTTAATAAGGAATAATAGCTTTCCTATAGAACTTTAAAATTAATGTATAATATTCTATAACTTGCTGTAAACTCAGTTTACAGAAATCCATCCAAAAGTTCTGACTCTCTGTTGCATGTGCCATGTTTTTAGAAGTATTTCTATAGAACTCTGTATTTAATTAATCCCCATTATATTTTGATATGGTAGGGGTTTCCACGAAGGTTTATGTTAAAAAAAAAAAAAAAAAAAAGATTTTTAACAGAGGGTTTTATTTTTGTGTTTTTTAATTCTATTCCCTAGTAAGCAATTGCTAGTGACAGAAAATAGAAGTTATGGTTTAAATGAGATTTATACACTAAAATGAAAAATGTATCCAGTCTAATAAGTGGTAGTTAAAGAAAAGCTAAATTGAGTATTTAGTTTAATGAATTAAAAGTCTGTATATAGTGTTTGTTGTAGTTGCAGGAGTTAATGACAGAATAATCAATGCACATCTATCAGTTTGTGTGCAAATAAAGAACTGAAGGATAGCTTTGTTATTTTTTATTCCCCCCTTCCCTTCTGCTGTGTTTTTCTAGAAATCTATGTTGAAAAAAACTCAGTATATGTAACTTAGCATCTCTGCAGCAAATAAGAGACTTAATCAAAATTAACAACTGTTTGCAAATGAAAGTGCCTGCAGTACTCCTAAAACCTTAGCACTGAGGGAAAAGAGGGAAAAGAAAAATGTATAGTTCATAAAGAGGAGGTCTGTCAAGGAGTCACTGACTGAAAAGCTCACCCCTTTGGAGAAAGGGACATTGAATTTTATTCAGATATGACTAGCATGACTAATATCTCCACACTTCCATTGAAGAATAAAGATCTACATTTGCTTTTAGAACTTTTAAGATAGAAATCTAAACTGTTTCTACCGTAGATTTTTGTTGGTTGAAACATGCAGATTGATTAATGCTGTAGAACTGGTAAAGATTAGGTGTCTTGCTTGAAATGAGGACATTTTAGCTTTACCATAAAAGAAATGGGTACTCAAACATACAGGTTCAAATTCAGCTCCAAGCAAAACATTTCAGCAGATGGTCTGTGGTTCCATAAAATAACAGAATTAGGTCTGTAAAGGCATTGATTTAACTCTGGGTGGCAAGGTACAGGGTATATTTTTACTAACAAAGGACCTTATAAATTGGAATTCCTTTTTTCCTGGGTCTGCAGTAATCCAAATAGCTTGTCACTTAGGACATATTGCAAAAAACAATTTAATCTGCCTAACCTTTGATAATAAGGGCAACCATCAGGGTAGAGGCAAGGAGTATTTCATCTGGTTAATTTTTGTTATAAAGAAAACTATAAAAATGGTTTTACTAACCTATTGAGCATATCTAGAACCATGGGTGGGCCTCTAAAACTAAAGAGATATGCTCTTTTTATCAGTTTCTGAGCAGAAGTTAGAGCAAACAAATTCAAGTGATAGCAGTAAGTTTTGCTGCTGTAATGCATACTCAGTGCATCTTGCTATGCAAGTGTCCTCATTGGCTAGGGACAGGCATTCAAAAAGCCTGAGCCTGAATTGATTCAATCTTTGCAGGTTAGTGTAACCTGGTTAGGTTAAACTGGTTTGTAATCACAGAGACATCCCCTCTGGACTGCAAAAATTCAGGCACATGCCTGCAGTGGCTCAGGCTAGAAGCCAGGACATGCTAGAGCAGCCTTCCCTTCCCTACCCAGGGCTGAGCTGAGGGGGGCATGGCCAGGCCCTGGCAGGACCTCTGATGTCCCCCCCCACTTCCTGAGCAGCCTAGCAGGGAATGTTTATCAACCCTAACTCAGTGTTTATCAACCCATTAAGAAAACAAACTCTCTCTCCATTAGTTCAAGCTCTTCTTAAACAGCTTTTCCAGGGAAGGACATTACTAGCTACCTGTTGATTAGCTCCAAAAAGCCAATCTGCCTTTTTTGTCTCCCACAGCACAGACTGAAGCCAGCACGTGGTCTGCTAGTTAATGCTGAGAGGTGTAAGGCAGAGGGGTGGGAGGAATAATCCCTGCTTAGCAGGGAGAAGCCAGGGAGATGCCTGCAGCCTGCAATCACTTCTGGAGCTCCAGCCAGGAAGTAGGGAGGAGGAACTAGCTCTGCTGTGGAGCAGAGAGCCTTGCCCAGCCCAGAGAGCATACCAGGATGTTGGGGGAGTCTGGTTTATCTTAAACCAGCAAGGTGTCTGGGACAGACATTGCATAAACTGTTTTGACCCAAATCATTTAAGTCTGATACTACGTTCAACCAGGTTTATCTCAAACCGGTTTCAGCCATTTTCAAACTGGTTTATGTGCACTGGACATCTGTTCTGTTACAGGTTTAAACTAATTTCTGATCACTTAAACCAGTTTATGTGTAATGTCTGTCCCTAGCTATTAAGTCCAATAAATTGCTCATATAGCAAGTTAGTACAAAATGAGAAAGGCCTGCAAAGTTGGGCCCATGAATTACTCATCAAGAACTAGGCTAGCAACAAAGGTTTTTTATTATAAATGTCATAGACCTGAGACCTTAATGTTCTTAAAAATAAACATATAAAATCCTAATTCTCCATTGCCTTTACCTTATACATGCCCACACTTTCATCTACCCCTGCCCATCCTTCTGAAAAAATTGGGCTGGCATGGTTCTCTTTGGAACTTATCAACACTCTCTTTTATTAGTAAGAGAGATTGCTGTTGATCAATGCTAATCACTTCTTTCTCCTCTGGGGACATGTTTGCTGCCTTTACAAGATTCCCAGCTTCTGCATGCCCAGAGAGACACTAGCGCTGAGAAACAGATGCCACTGTTCTCCCTGCAGCATAACAGATTACTTAAAGATGACTCTTCCCAGCCCAGGGTATTAAACAGAAGCTCTATTAGTACAGTATATCTCCACATATTTATGCATTGCTTCACTGTAACAGGGGCATAAAGTGTGCACCAAACCCTATTACAGGATCTCATTATTCAAAGTATAGATGTAATAGTCTGATGATATTATTCATGAGAAAAAGCCTCTTATTTTCACACTTGGAATGTAATTTTCACTGCAAATATAAAATACATCATGATGAAAAGAGGAATAATTCTTCCTGATTTTCATGTATTTCTAATAACCTAACATGACTACTTGTGATTGTGCTACTTGAAGCTTAAATTATGTAGTAATCCACTTTTCAATATGGTACAAGTTTCTTTTTCTCTAATGGCTGCAGATTGCATGCTTACAGTGCTTTGTTGAGTGGGGAAATATAGTCCTCCTTCCCTTTTGCTTAAATCTTGGTCCAGACCTCATGTGAAAGACAGCTCTGGCTTTCTGGACCTACTCCTGCTGTGAATAAGGGATGAAGTGTAGCTTAGCCTTGTCTGCCTCCCCATTCTCCACACTCACTAGTTAAGCATGGCATCGGAAGAAACCTATATCTTTTTAAATATTTTCCCCTAGAACAAGGGAGGAGCTGGAAAAGGAAGCTTGATTTTCAAAGTCAGAATTTCTTCCAAGATCTGCTGGTATAGTAGCTCACAACTTTTGTCTTAATACAAGGCCTAATGTCTCAGTAAAAGTATAGATATGCATGTAGAGATCTAAATTACTTTGAGAGTCATTATGTGCAATAAGGAGGTGTGTATCTGTTTAAATACATTTCCATAATAAAAGATGTTCCACTTCTGTGTCTGTTCTAGGGTCAAAATGTATTTGGACTTGATATAATTGAAACACCCGAGGGAGACAAGTGGCCACAGCTTATTGTCCAACAAATCCTGGACAGGGAACAGAAGGACACTTATGTGATGAAGATTAAAGTTGAAGATGGTGGAAACCCTCCAAGATCAAGTACAGCTATCCTACAAGTTACAGTTACTGATGTGAATGACAATCGCCCGGTCTTTAAGGAAAATGATATTGAAGTTAGCATTCCAGAAAATGCTCCAGTGGGCACATCAGTTTCACAGCTTCATGCCACTGATGCTGATCTGGGATCAAATGCACAGATCCTCTTCTCTTTCAGCAATCAAATCTCCAATCTGGCCAGAAGACTGTTTGCCATAGATAACACCACTGGTCTTATCACAATTAAAGAGCCACTAGACAGAGAGGAATCTCCTGTACACAAGTTAACTGTTTTGGCAAGTGATGGCAGCTCAACTCCATCAAGAGCAACAGTGACAATAAATATCACAGATATTAATGACAATGTACCATCAATAGACACAAGATACATCATTAATCCAGTGAATGGGACTGTGCTTTTGTCTGAGAAAGCCCCACTCAATACAAAAATTGCCTTGATTACAGTAATGGACAAAGATGCTGACCTGAATGGAAAGGTTACCTGTTTCACTGACCATGACGTCCCATTTAGGTTAAAGCCAGTGTTTGACAATCAGTTTCTGCTGGAGACAGCGACGTTTCTAGACTTTGAGGCTACCCGGGAGTATGCCATTAAAATAGTGGCTTCTGATTCAGGGAAACCTCCCTTAAATCAGTCTGCAATGCTCCTGATTAAAATAAAGGATGAGAATGACAATGCCCCGGTTTTTACACAGCCTGTAATAGGACTTTCCATTCCTGAGAACAATGCTCCTGGCACCCAGCTGACTAAGATAAGTGCTACAGATGCAGACAGTGGACGCAATGCTGAGATTAGCTATATGTTGGGCTCAGATGCACCTCCTATCTTCAACCTAGACCGCCGCACAGGCATTCTGACAGCAGTGAGAAAGCTGGATAGAGAAAAACAGGACCGGTATTCCTTCACTGTTCTAGCTAAGGATAATGGGATGCCACCCTTGCAGACCAATGCTACAGTTACAGTGTCTGTTCTGGATCAGAATGACAACAGCCCTGCCTTCACCCACAATGAATATAATTTCTATGTGCCAGAAAATCTGCCCATGTATGGGACAGTGGGGCTTATCACAGTTACTGATGCTGACTCTGGAGAGAATGCTGCTGTCACTCTCTCTATATTAAATGGCAGAGATAATTTCATTATTGATCCACTTACTGGTGTAATAAGACCAAATATTACCTTTGACAGGGAGCAACAAAGTTCTTACACTTTCCAGGTGAAGGCTGTAGATGGAGGAAGACTGCAACGCTCTTCAACTGCCAAGGTGACCATTAATGTGGTTGATGTGAATGACAATAGGCCTGTTTTTGTTATCCCTTCTTCTAACTACTCCTATGATTTAGTTCCAACATCCACCAATCCAGGCTCTGTGGTAACTAAAGTTTTTGCAGTTGACAACGACACAGGGATGAATGCAGAACTCCGCTACAGTATTATAGGCGGGAACTCAAGAGGTTTGTTTACAATTGATCAGTTAACAGGCAATATCACTTTGAAAGAGAAGGTAATAACATCAGATCATGGCTTACACAGGCTGGTAATAAAAGTCAATGACTTAGGACAGCCAGAGTCACTGTATACAATAGCACTGGTGCATTTATTTGTGAATGAGACTGTTACTAATGGTTCGTATGTGCAAGAGCTTGTACGCAGAAACATGGAAACACCAGTGGGCCAGAATGTTGGGGATGGTGAGATAACCCCACAGACCAATGATTATGTCAAAATCATCATTGCTATCATTGCAGGCACCATGACAGTTATCCTGGTAATTTTTGTCACTGCTTTGGTACGATGCCGCCAGACACCTCGGCACAAGGTTGTCCAAAAAAGCAAGCAAAGTGGGGAATGGGTCTCCCCAAACCAAGAGAACCGGCAGATCAAGAAAAAAAAGAAGAAAAAGAAACGTTCCCCTAAAAGTCTCCTTCTCAATTTTGTGACGATTGAAGAATCTAAACCTGATGATCCTGGCCATGAGCATATAAATGGTACTTTAGACATTCCCGTAGAGTTAGAAGAACAGACTATGGGAAAATATAACTGGGCCACCACACCAACCACATTTAAGCCTGACAGCCCAGATTTAGCAAAGCACTACAAGTCTGCCTCTCCACAGCCTACCTTTCAAATTAAACCTGAAACTCCTGTGCCCCCTAAGAAGCACCATGTCATTCAGGAACTGCCTCTAGATAACACCTTTGTGGTGGGCTGTGACTCACTCTCCAAATGCTCCTCAAGCAGCTCGGACCCTTACAGTGTCTCTGAATGCAGCTGTCAAGGAGGTTTCAAGACTCCAGGTCCCATACATACTAGACAGGTAAAGCAAAGTTTTTAGCTTCTTTCTCTTGGTTGCACTCTATCTCCTTCTCCCTCTCCCCCACCAACTTTTTTTCTTTCTTTTTTTCACTGTAGCTCTAAGCTTTGTAGAATAGCTTTGTCTGTAAAGATTAAAAGTCTAAAAGTTCATGCTTGGCTGAGGCATTGAAATGTAAACAGTTTGTGATTCATCAATGTTAAAGGGAAAAAATTAGAATAAATTGACTCTTAGCTTGGGGGAAATTGAGTACTGAATGATTATATTAGGAGTATTCCTGTCTGTAGATGGCAGTATGGCACTTCCTGCATTAATGTACTATATAGTTGTATAGCTCTGTAAAACAAAGAGGGGTTATGGCACTGTCCTTGCTAGTATTGTATGCTTAGGAATCTAAGTAATCTAGGCCAGGTGGAAAGCAATAAAGCTGCAGAATCTGATAAATGGTTCTTAATGCTAATGGAGTCTGGAATTGCAGCCTTCATTTGGTCAGAGCTGTACCTCAAAGTCTCTCAAAAGCAGACAAGTAGTTTTTTTTTCCCCCCAGAGGGACTGAGTGCCATTTTCAGACTAGAAACATACCCTGCAATCTAGGCTACTAAAAGCTGACTGACTGGTGCACTCAACAACATAAAGCAGCAAAGAAGGCAGTGGAAAAAAAATTAGAAAAAAGCAGAATTGTTGCCCTTACACCATCATCTTTATGTCCAAGTTCAGACCATGCAGATGCTAACTGCTCTTAGATGCAGTGCAGCATTCACAGGAGATAACTGTAAAGGTCCCCAGGTAAACATTCAGAGCAGAAATGTAAGATAATTAAAGACCTTTTGATTTTTAAGATACTAAAATAATGGTTATTAAATCACTGGGAACCACATCTAATTTGACCCCAAATTCTAGAAAGTGTTATTAATATAATCATGATAGGTTTTACTATTTATTTGATTTACACACCTCATTAGTGTAAGTAGTATAAGCATCAGTTCAAAAAAAGGAAATTAAAAAAGTCCAGTGTTTATGTATCACTAAATTATAAGGAATCAATGGTTTGAGAGAGGTAAATAAAGCCCGCTTATACTGTGAGTTAAATAGAGGATTTGGTTCCAGGTTTGTTTGTTTTTTTCAGGCATAGAATCAAAGGTCAAATCCCCAGGGGTGCATTTAAGCTTTAGTAACCTTTGACTCTACGCAGCAGAGTATCCAGTCCCCTAACTTGATTTATTTTTCTGTAAGCTTTCTTTCATTAGTTATGTGGTTAAAGCAAAATGTGCCTGAAGAAATGTCCCCTGTTCAAACTTCACGTCTACAGTTTAGAAAGATTGCTGTTGCTTTATTCATTCCTTTTTTCTGTGACACCAGTTTGTGAGGTAGACAAAATCCCTGTACCACACAAAGCTTTTTGCTGAGAGTTAACAGAAAACAGAATGGAATATGATTTCTTCATATTTCTCAGTTGGCATTGATTGTGGAAAGATTAATAACATATGAATGACGTGAATGTTTTCTGTTAAGACTGTTTGAGTGGGAAATTTTTAAAGTTAAATTATGCAAGAAAAGAACCCTATCATGGTTTATACTATTGAAGTTTTTGTCTTGGTAGAGGATGAAGGTCGTTTCTCAGCACCACTGGGGCCTGAGTTAAGGCATTTTCCTATTGATTTGAGGTGGCTCTGGATTAAGCCCTATGAGCCAAAGCAGTCTCCTATATTTTTTTCACAATCGTCCACCAAAAAGAGAAAGTTTGGCATGTGGCTCACTTTAGTTCCAAGAGGTACCAATGCTCACGCACCAGTGTGGTGCCTCTGGGCCCCTCTAAAGATGCAAGTAAAGGCACAATGGGTGCATCTATATGAGATGTTGACTGCAGAGTAGCCGAATAATATTGCACAGTAGTGCATCACAGCACTAAAAGTACTAATACCCTACTGTGCAGTATTATTAGGCTATGGCACAGTAGTGTCACTTAAAAGGCATTTGCTGGTGCTTACTGCACAATAACTCTGGTTACTGCTCATTTATTTAGTATAAGTACTAAATAAATGCACAGTAATGACTGCACAGTAGTGTCTTATAGATGCGCCTAATGAGATCTAACGTGCAGTCCACACAATTGTGTCTACTGCTATGCCACACATGCACAGCATAAGGCATGATTGTGATTTCCTGCATTAGATCCCATTGCACCTTACTGAGCCCAGGTATTCCCTGTACGGGCAAGAAGATCACAGCTGCTGTACCCTCCCAGCATCCCTGCCATGCTCTTCCTAGGGGCTGGTAAATCTCAGCTGTGCTTTGTGGCTGCTGGGACCCAGCTGGGTCCTGGCACTGGGAGGCATGCTGCAGGGACCCATGTCTGAAGCTGTGGGACTTTGGGTCTTGCCAGCTACAAGGTGTTCCTGAGACCCAGCATCTGCAGCTTCTGGGACTGAGAGTCATCTCAACTGCGGAACTCCCAGCCCCAGCTAGACATGGTGCAGAGCTGCAGCTGGCAGCCCCATCAGCTGACAGGGCTCTCAACGACAGGGGAGACCCTACTACACAGAAATGAAAGCTGGATAGCAACCAGGTATAAAGTTAGTACACATTTTCAAGGTCTAACTTTATAGTTGGTTGGAGTTTTCTATGGTGTGATAGATATTTTGCACGTGTAGCTGATCTCAAGGTAATTCCGCAGATAACCAGTTAATTGTGCAATGCATGCAACACGTATGTCAAAGATGGGTGTTGGAAAACAGTCTCCTCAGCAGGATTGGGCCTCAGGGGCAGGTACTACCTTCACCTCTTTTTCTCCCTAGAAGAGTGAGGTTTGAGGGTTCTTCTGCTTGCCATTTTAATGGTACAGAAAAGGGAAGTACTGCTTAAGTCAGTGGGCTATCGTCACCTGAAAAGGGCTTGGTGCAATTCTGTTAATATAGGTAGAATGAGATATGAGCAGGAGTGTGGTTAATATATTAATTTGTTAAATCAGCTCCCTTTAGGTTAATTTTGTTTATGTCATGGCAGTCACCTCAGAACTTGGGAAAGTTTTAACAGCTCACCTTGCAAGGATCTTTTACAGTCGTTTGCAAATAGCATTTCTTTTAAACGCTAGAATAATTCCTTTCATACTTAAGCAAAACATAAACTACTCTGTTAATTTATGTAAGTATTGAAACAAGAAAGTATTTAATTCAATTGGCCTTTCTGATGGATTTTTTACATATAAAAGAAATCATATGTTTAAGGACAGTCAAGACAGTCAAATGAACTGTTTGGCCTTCTAGATGCCTTAAAACAGTTTAATTTGGCCGCAACACTGAACAGCCGCAACACTGGCCACAACACTGAATTCTATATTGTACGCTTAGAATTGTATCATCTCCATCCAGGAATATGAACTAGGAATGCAAATAGGCGACACTGAAGAATATTTTTAAGGGGCCAGCTCATAGCCCATGGAGTGTGTAAACAGACTAAAAGCTGCTCCTTACTCCTTGTAGCTGTCATGCTATTTAGCCCTTCTCCAGCCTCAGAGATTAATGGTGTGGTTTAGATTTTTGCTTTATATATTCACTGATTTCACAGAAAGCTGCAGGGCAGAGCTGATCACTGAAGGAGAATAAGTTAAGTTAAAAAATATTTCTACTTTTAAAAATAATATGGTAAATGATGCCAAATAGTTGGGGAATTTTGTTCTTTACGCTAACACCGACAGTTTTTGGAATGCGTCACATAACATGCAAAAAGCTCTTTCAAGCAAGTGATTAGAGAAGGAGCAAAACTAAGTATCCAGGGCCCTCTCGCCTAATTCTGGTGAATGCTGCAACTCATGGGTCTCTCATCTGAATTGCCCAGAGTTTTGTTTATGCAAAATCAAGATTTTACTCAGCTATATGAAATAAAAAACATATTCATCTGTCTGCATTTGAAAATAAATTAAACTGAAATTAGAAACATGTACATGGATAACCAAAGCTTTAAATTTGGAACCTGACCAAGGTAGGTATTTGCATAAGACCTAGCTTTGGTTTTACAAACCTAAAAATTGCTGCCTGCCTCTGTGTTACTGCTAGGATTGGTCTAATTAATCTTTAAGAAGCTAGAGATTATTATAGTTGTTCTCATGAGATATGTAACTATCTAGATATCAGAGAGAAAAAACATAGAAGAGAGTATTTGAAGGGGCTTTTTTTCCCATTAGAAAAACTGAAATACTTTGAGTGACCAGAAGGAAAAAGAAAGAATAGGTGAAAGGACTGGAGTGGCCAGGAACAGTGAAAGGAACATTTAAGTCATGAACTACAGTAGGAGAGCAAGTATGAATGCAATTGGAGCATGCTCGGTGGAAGAAGGGGGGGAAATCACAGTAATGTTTAATGAGACAGAGGAAGAAAAAAAGGAATTAATATTATTAAAAAAAACCCCAACACTTTCCAGTAATTATGTATTTAGTTCTAGAGATCCTAAATGCATAGAATTTTATACGACAGCAAGTTTTCTTTTGCAAATTACTAGATTGATGTTGTAAAGAAGCTTTTCAAAGTGATAAAGTGTGAAGAAACTAATTGTTAGTAATAATGCAGTGTTTTTTAATATAGGACAATTAGGGGCTCATAAAGTAGAGGTGACATTGAGTATCTTCCAAGTTTGCAAGTTTTTATTAGCTAGTTGTAGACTTGTCAGGGGAATATATTCTGTTGCTAGGAAAATGAAATTTAAAATAAACTTAAAGCCTGCATCTTGACCTATTGAGGTCAGTGGGATTTTTGCCAAAAAAAAACTTCTTGGGAGCAGGAGAAGGCTTTTAATAAAGTAATGCATTAAGTCAAATGTCTATTTCCTCTTTGTATTTATTCTTCATGTGCGTATTTGGTGAAAGGCATATGAAGACTGGATGATCTGGTAAATGAGTGAACAGGTTGATATACCATAACTGAGTAAAGCTGAGTGGCCAAATTGTTTAAAAAAAACACTCAGGTGTTTCAAAGAGATACCTGTGCACCACTATACTGTGCTACTGTAGA